TATATATGGTGCCGCGTCGCCGCGTCGCAGGCCCCCCCCCCCCCCATGGTATGCCCCCCCCCCCCCCCCCCCCACAAGCCATGCCTCTCGTTCCAGCCAGCACACAGTGGCACGTCATCCACGTAACTGTCGACATTCCCCACGGTACCCCCCCAAGCCAGGCGTCGGGAGGGATAGCCCACAACACATGGAAGCACAGGATAACCCACAACACAGGGAAACACAGGACCCCTTCCCCTTCCCTCCATTTCGACACACAGATGAGAACGAAGGCGATGATGTTGCGAAGAGATTCCCAGTGTGCCTGTTGGTGGTACCTCTGCTCTTATGTTGCTCTGGGCTTCGTGTTTGGCTTGTAGTGTTCCTGCGCAAACTGTATCGACCGTTGTCATTCCTGGCCAAGTTTCGGTTGAGGTCGTTAAAAATGAGCTTGAGCACGTGCTTGAATGATGCTCATTCGGGGCTCTTGAGCAAAGGACCGGAGGAGAGTGCGGAGGGATGCGGAGGGGGATTATGACTACAATCTTCGTGTTCATCAGACAATACTCATCACTATAATTGGCTTTGGAGCGCAGGGCAGGTCAGAGTTCAGTGGAACTGTATCACATCCTAAGTAGCAACCGGACACCCAACCAGCAACAGCCATGGAAGGGGGCGCAGCCGACCGCAACCACAGGGGGGAGGGGCAGGGAAGACCCACACCACAGGGAACCACAGGGGGGGGGAGGGGGGAGGGGGGGCCTAGCAGGGCTGCACCATATATGGAGTTGTGTGTGCGTGCGTGCGTGCGTGCGTGCGTGCGTGCGTGCGTGCGTGCGTGCGTGCGTGCGTGCGTGCGTGCGTGTGTGCGTGCGTGCGTGCGTGCGTGCGTGCGTGGGTGTGTGTGTTTGTGTGTGTGTGTGTGCTTATTTGTGTGTGTACGTATGTAGGTAGGTCTGTATGTATGTATGTATGTAAATTAGTAACCACCGTCCATTGCATAGGGCCTTGCCCCCCTGACTAATTAATTTTCAGAGGAACTTTAGGAAATCAAATACGGTTTGGTTTGGAAGATATGAAACAAAGTATGCAGGAAAGTGTTGTTGGGTTTTAACAACGTGAATCAAAGGATGTAAAAGAAAGTGTGGGTTGGGACTGCTAATTACAAGCAAAAACTACAATGAGTCTAAGGCGAGGGAAGGAAGTGGGGGTAAGGGATGAAACGGGGTCGCTGGATGTGACACATCCAGGTGCCTGTCTGTTTCACGCGTTACATGCATGGATCCATGCTTGCTGCTCATCAAGGTTCTGGCAGAGTATTGACTACAGCTGTGAGCCTGTAGAAAAAGAGACTCCTTCGTTGTTTGTAGGCTTGTACCTCTGCGAGCGTCTTCCCGCCCAGGTTACATCTCAAAGGGGAAGGTAGGGGGGGGGGGGGCGGAAGAGCGGCCGGGGAGGGCCCCGGGAGCGTTTCGTGTCCTGGCTGCGCGCGCAGAGCTCTGTCGTCCTTGCAACAAGTCTTTTGCTTTCGTTTTTCCTTAGGTTGTCTCGCCTCCCGGCCTCCTGGGCGAGACCTTTTTTGTCCACTCGTTGTTCTCTTTTGTTGTTGTTTTCCCTCTTTTTGTTTCTCACTTATTTATCCTTTTTTTCTAATTTTATTTATCTTTTTTTCTTGTTTTTTTCCTTTGTTTTTCCTTATTTTTCCTAAGGCTTTCCTAAAAAACCAGACCCGGGCCCGGTCCGAGCCGGCCTGCTTGGAAATGTGAAAAAAAACCTGATGGGAAATGTGGCTCCGGAAGGACCCCGCGCAGAGAAATGTGACTCCGCCCGGAGGCAAATGCGCCAGGACCTAAGCTTGTGGTGCCCCCCTGTCCCTGCTGCCTGGGCCTTTGGGCCTTCCCCTGCCGGGCTCGACTCTCTACGCACAGCAGCCCCGACGCGTCCACCGCTGAGCTGCTGGGTTGTTCTGGCCGCCGTTCTTCTTGCCTGGCGAGGCTTACACCGATGCATGTACAATGTAGCATCTAGACTACGTTGGTGACTCGCTTCTAGGTCGTTCATGCAATCCAAGAAGGCAACATCAGCAAAGTTTGGGTGGGGTGAAAGAAGTCGAGTTCCGATAGCCCCGCCGGAACACAACAATGTCCACGGATAGCATGTTTTAGTGTTTTCTTCTGCACATCCCAAAGACTCCGTCAGATCGTGCATTCTTTATGTACAGAATACAATGGAGAAACACAGGTTCACATCTTATTTGACATTGGTATACAGGCCTCGCATTCTCTGCCACATTTTGCTTTACAATCATTTCTCCGAATCACATTTCTTTTCATATTTCCATTCCTGCGCCATACTTTTTCCATACTTTCACCCAGACAGTCTCCAGGAATTGACTATATTGGAAAACCTTGCCTACGCAAGGCCGTGGGGATTACTAACTAATGTAAATGTAAATGTATGTAATGCTGTAGGTATGTATGTATGTATGTATGTATGTGTGTGTGTGGTATGTATGTATGTATGAATGTATGTATGAATGTAAAATGTGCGAGTGTCTATATGTACGCCCACTGGTTTGAAAGGCATTGGAACAAGCTCAAAATATGCCTTGTTCTGACGTTATTTCTGGAGAAACCTTCTTGATGAAGGTCTTGTCGGTGCACGCCTCCAGTTGCAGCCTCTCTGAGTGCATGGAACTAAGCTTCCGACATGCCGCAAACAAGCGCTTCCACAAAACATGGCTATGCTTGCCTCGATTCCAGAAGCTTTCCATCCCGATGCACATAGTCCTCTTGGTGTGGTTCGAGCGAGGGTTTGGAATGCTTGTTTTCTATAGGATCAGCGGCCATGCATGTGAGTGCAGAGTTCGCCACACTCCTCCCGCGTGTGTCTCCTCGAAACCTTGCAAAAGCATTTTGCACCATGTGCCCCGATAGCAGCGGCTGCAGAGTGCCGAATTACGATGGTGTCAGCGAGCCAGACCCTGAAACATCGAAACAGCACCTATTTGTTGACTCATCTTATTGTCCTCTCTCGCTCTCTCTGTCTCTCTCCCTCCCGCTGTCTGTGTGCATGTGTACAACGAACAGATACTACAACGTGCGGGTTTGTGTTTAGCACAAGACCAAGCGAGGTTTGCCGGCACCTTTTGCGCACGAGAGCTGAAGTGGCTTTGACTCACATGCTGTTGCTTGGTTTTGGTCTTGGGTTGCGAAAAACGTGGGGCTCGGCTTTTCGGGTCTTGGGTTCTTGGGGGTCTTCGTGGCTTTTGCGACAAAGGGGCGACTGTGCTAGATTTCAATGCATGTTTGTCGAAATTCGGAGAGCTTAAGTCACTCTTTCCGATTCCTCGGCCTGAGTGGTTTGCTGGGTGGCTATGCCTTTGTGCTCGGTTTCTCAAGCCCGAACCCAATGCCTCCGTGCCTATACCTGACAACTTCCTCAAGCGCAAGCACTCGCTTTCAACCCCGCAAGTCCCGAGCCCAAATCTCCAAATCCGGCCGTACATCCTAACTTTGCGTGCCATCCCCAGCCGCAATCCTCAAGCCTGGACATGCCTAAGCAGTCTGCTGAGGTCTCTTGGGTTTAGATAGAACCCAAATCCAAATCCGCACAAGCCTTCTGATGGGCTGAATTCAGACCGCTGCCGTTGCTTCGACATGCAGGGCACAGATATGGGGCATCATTGCGACTTTACTACCCGTTGTAGTATTGACTTGGGCTGACAGGCATACTCTAGACTTTAGTCATTGCGTGGTTGCGATGCGTTTCCTGTTGCCCGGTGTCACTAGGGTTCGGGGCTCAATCAGAAACATCAGCATGTGCCGTGGCTGTCTTGGAACAGCAGTCTCGGCTTTCGTTGCTTTTCAAGACTTCTATGCAAAATTCAAGGCATCGATTTCTTTTGAGTGATTTATGTTTTCGTGGGTCCCTCACAGCTCCCCACCCCAAACCCATCACCCTAAAACCAAGATCAGAAATCCATGTCAGGAAAACCAAGCTGCTTCGCTGCAGGCGCGAATTCGACGTGACCCTTGTGGATGCCAAGGAGAGGGTTCGTTTTTCGAGTTTAAATGGTTCGGGAATAGTTTTTATAGCAGAGGGGCAAGGTAGGCAGGACAGCTTCGCAAGCTTCTTGTACGTGTGTGTTTGTGTGTGTGCCTGTGTCCACCTCATGCACTTCACTGAGTTTCTTTGTCTTTGCCTCTCTGCACGCCTTCCGCCGTATGTGCCTTTGTTGTGGCATGCTGGTGGCGTTGTGTGTTGATTCCTAGGTTGCAACATGGCGAATCACTTAACACTTCTCTACAAGGAAGGAAACGAAGGCGCAGGAGCTGATTTTCTCTTCAGACCTGCAAGCTGCAAGGAATTCTTCGAGTTTACTCCGGGGATCCTACGAGCTTATGTGCGGCTCGACGGTATCGGGATTTATGGGTTTAGCTGGAGGGGGGTTGGAGTTGACACCAGACTTCCCGTTTTTGGAGGATACGAATCCTTGCTAGGCCATGCTTCAGAACTGCGGTTCCAGGTGTGTTTCTTTCGGACTTCCCCCCCTTAAACCCCAAGCATTCTTGTCCGGGGGCTGCAAGCTGTCGGATCGACCCATAGAGCAAGCAAGCCTTTGTCCGGACTGTGGCTAACAGACTTCCGGCAGATTGACCTCGCAGGCTCTGCCCTTCATACAAAGCCAGTGCTCTCACTGGATTGATTTCAGAATTCCTAGGTGAAACTTCTGCAGCGCAGGGATTGCATGTCCTGTGCAGATTTGAGGGGCGGTTGAACCGTACAACCTCTAAGCCTCTAAGCTTGTGCCATGACTCATTACGGCTCAAACCCCATAAGGTCATGCCTTTTGCAATCGGAGGCCTGTGCATCACAAATGAACGAAGATAGCCACAGCTTACTGTGTCCATTGTCGACAGTCGACGGCCGTTGCTGCCCGTATTGTTGACCTTCCTGCCTGGCGTTGTGCAAGGCAGCCGAACCACTTCGATTCGCTCTCCTTCTCTTTGTCTCCGGTCATGTCGAAGATTGGCGTCCGCTTTATTGCAGGCAGGAATTTCAGGCTGTCGATGACTATAGGAATGGGCACAATCGCTGTTTGCGTTTGCTGCTTTGAAGGCTGTTCATGTCAACAAAAGCTGCACCTAGCGTTTTGATTAGCATGCACCGGCTTCCACTTGTTGCCGGAGGTCTGCGGTCTGATTTTCGGTAATGTCCCTGAACAAGGGACCGCCCCACATCCGATAGTGAAGCAACCGATTGTTGCTTCGTCACGATTGCGACGACCGAGGAGGATTCCTAAAAAAACAGTTGGGAAACATCAGTCCTAACCCGATATATTCGAGACTTCAAGAAAAGCATGCATGGCAACCGGCCTTTGCAGCTTGCATTCAACCCTCGCGAAAAAGCCAAAATCCGTGAACACAGCGGTAACACCCTCAGGGCAAAATCTAACGGCTCCCTTTTCCTGTACCCCTGTCGGGCAATGACGTTGATCGGAGCCCGGTGCGCTCTCCGGTCCGACTCGCCCCACTCCCTCCTTGACCCACTCCTTCACAAAGAAGGTTATAGAGCTGCAACAAAGTTGTTGTGGCCGGTTATGGCCTTGATCAGACTGGGAAGCTAAATCCATTTTGAGTTTGAGACTTCACCGGCTTCCAGTAGCAGTAGCAGCCTTTCATGAAGTAGTTCTTAGGACAAGCTTAAGCCAGGCACGAGATATCCAGACCCCTTTCAGCTCACAGCAGTTCGTCCCTGTGCAGGGGAAGTCAAGCAGCTGGACTACGACGCTTAGCTTGGTGCTAGCAGGGAAACATGCAGCAGCTGCAGTGCTAGTACACGAGGTCACGGGTCGCAGTTCTAAAGCAGTCAGGGTTCGTTTCATTTTCATGGGAGTGGCAGAAGATTGGGGGACTTTGTCTCCAGCTTCCTGGCTCGGTTTGCAGATTTCTCATGCAAGGACGGCCAGCAAGTACTGGCAGACATCAAAGCCCTGCACGATGGCGATGTGATGCGCTTGCCACCTGGCTATACTGTTTCCGCTATCGTCTGCCTGGATCCGTCATGTGAGTCTTTCCTGCGAGGAATTCACAGCCGCAACCAACAAAGGGGCAACCCGCATGGTATTACAGTGCCGTGTTTAGGAACAAAACAACAGGACCGCATCCCGAATTTGCGAACCTATCAGATTGGCTAAGGCCCGGAAACTTTTGACGGTATTTTTCATGACCAGTCGTACCAAGTACATACACACCAATGCACGTGCCATTTGTCATCTCATTGTTTTCGGATGACAGGTAGCACAAATGCATCCCATACATGCACCAACACCCTAAACCTGCTAGGAAAGGCAAGCAAAAACCCCGGCCCAGGAAGTTTGACTACTGCATCGTTTGCGCGGGATGTGCCTGGCTTTCTTTCATCTTCAAGTCTTCCACATGCTTTTCGAGGATTAAGGACTTGCAGGGTGAGTTTGCGATTTAGGCTTTAGTTGACTGCAATGCCGTTCTAGGCACTGGGAAGGTGCATGTGGGCAATCTCGAGAACGGCCTTCGTTGGAAAAGGGTTTCCTTGTTTCCCGTTCATGGCTTTCCGGGGGCTGCTGGCTTTTTACAGCCGCTCCGGGCTGAGCCCAAGCTGACTACAAGATCTGGTTGCTTGACATAAGCTGGCATGAAATTGCCGAAGCAGTGCTTTCTGCAACAACTCCGTGCCCCAGAGGCTGTTCAATGTAGCATCTATGCTTCGGTTTCAATCGTGAGGCTGCTTTGGTCCCTTCAGCAAGCCCCTTGGCTGCACTTTCCTCTATGATTTCAGCACTTCGCTGGACATCACTCGTTCAGTGACCTTTTGACCTGGTAGCAAGAATCGTCACGGTCATCGGCGCCGTCATATCGCTTCGATCATGGGCACAGTTGTCTGAACGACTTTTACACTGTAATCCAACTGCAGATGTGCCGGAATCGGCAAAAGCCGATCCTACAATCATATCGTTACACATAAATGAAGCTGGATGGTCAAGCTGCCAAATGGGAAGGAAGTATTCCGGAATGCCATCATGCCTCAAACCCCGAAAGCAGGTGGGGAGAGTCCTTATGGTTCCCAACCATCCACGAAGCTGCCCGGGAGGTGGCCTGGCTGTAGGCTTCGGGTTCCGTGGATTTCGAGGGGTTGTAGGGTTCCGTGGTTCAGGGTTTGAGGGTCACGAGGAAGCTGCGTCAGCAAGGGCAGGGCGTCTTTTTGAGGATTCTCTTGAGCACTTCGCTGGGTTTCTGGAAGCTCAGGGTCTGCTATCCTTCTTTCTTTGTATCCCCATCCAAGAGCTGTTTTGGTTTAGTCCGCGGCGGAGCTCTTCATTCGATTCTCATATTGACGAAGCTTTCAGCATTTGCCCCGGCATGAAGAAGGCCTCTTGCGGTCCTAGCCATTCGAAGCTTGGAAGGAGAGCGAGTGGCGGGACATTGACGAACGCTTTCTCGAAGGCTGGGCAAAGGTCATTTGCAGGAGTAACTGATGTTGCAGGTATAAAAGCCCGCAGTAGAGGAAGCAAGCACCTTTTTGCAACCGTTTCGCACTTCGAGGCTTTGAATATCGGGGGTTTACTCAAAGCCACAACCCAAAAGCTGGGTCTGGGTCTGAAAGCGAACCTCGAAGTCCTCAACCTGGGCCCCATGGCACATCTCGGATGTTTCTGTGCTCGCAACCGCAAACCCTTGACCTGACTGGGGTGCAGGAATCAAGCTTCCAATGCCAAGTCTTGAACACATATCATCCTTGGTTGACGAAGAATCGGAAAGTTCTCAAAGTGCTTTAGTAGCAAGTGTTCGGAGAGCACTAGATGCTCAAACAACAATCCACAACCACCCAGGTCGCAGGCGTCACATCCTTCAGGACCCAGCGGGTAGGGTTTGGTGTTTCTGACGAATCTGAGTCGCAGCAGAGCGCTGTCAAGGAACAAAATTCAGCTTGAGCCCCTTTGGAAGGATCTGGGCTTGCATGTTGCTTGATATTGAAATGAGGGTCGAGGCAATGTTTGGGTTGAGATGTCCCTGAGATCGGAAATTCCGATCGGACGTAGCATCTGGGTTCAGTGCCCTAGGGTGACCACCTTCGTACAAGCAGGGCCCGAGGCCCGTACATCAGTGAATCCACGCCAGAGGGCCTGGTACCTGGAAGTCCTCCTCACTGCAAGTGCCCTCATGGGCTGCCCTCAAAAGCTTGGCATTCCTTTCCATAAGAATCGGCTGGCAGTCCTGTCAGCCAGGGACCTGTTGAGGAAAGCATGACCTTGCGAGGCGACAGATCCTGAAAGCCCGTTCAAGCACATGCCTCCAGAAGCTCCGACCCGTGACGCGACCTCAAACGTCACATTGACTGAGCAAAACGAGGGAGGATTGTGACACAGCGTCGCTCGGCTCGCCTGAGCCGTGGGCATGTCCAAAACTGTCAGCCTTGCCCTCTTCTACGAAGTCTTGGAGTTGCATCATGGTATGGAACCGATGGACTGAAAAGTAAGGGATTCAACGGAAAGAGCGGCCTAACGTTTAAACAAGCAATCAAAGCAATCCATGGAGGTCTCCCAAAAACTCGCGCGGACTGGGACCCTGAACTCCATGAAGTCGGCAGAACTAATTTAACGAAGCCCTTTACACCAATGGATCAAGATTCTTTGGAAAGCCCTGCAGCGGTTTACTACTGTAGCTGTAGCACCACAGAGCCCTTTGTAAAATCATATGCAAGCCTATCGCCAATCCACCTGTTTTGGGTTTTTTCAAGTGACACAGCCAGGAGTTCGATAGCCTCACCGAGCTGAACGCCAGGCCAGGTCCAAGAGTTTTCCAGGTGCTGTAAGGGTCTTCGAAGGGATTTAGAACGGTTCTCTGGGATCTTACAAATGTTAGAAGGATCCTGAGAGCTTGAGGAAGGTTTAAGACTCTTGATTGAAGATTTCAGGAATGTTGGGGTTAGAGGAAAAGGGGCTGAGTGTACAGGTTCTTAGATGCAAATGTGTAGTGTGCGATTTAGCAATAGGACTTACTGGTAGGGTTAGAGGTTTTGCCACTGGGACTTCCTCATGCTGGTACAGGTAACTGCAGTCACTAGTAAGACTGCTTGCGTCCAAGTTGTTCTTGTCCGACAACAACAGCAGCAAAGACTCGCCCGAACAGAATTCAACACAGGTCAGCCTCGATCTTAGTCGTGGGTGCCGGCTTCATCGGTGTCGAGTGGGTGACAGAGTTGCAGCGACACGACTGCTTGGGGTGGTTGTCGGGGTTAGGGTCAGTGTCAAGTTGAATGCTCCGGTTTAATTTTGAGAGACTTTCAGAGCTTCAGTCTACAGAAGGCTGTACGGCTGCACGGTGCTTCGCTGATACACTCTTGAGGTTTGAGATGTTGGCTTCTAGCTTGGAGAGCATGAGTGAGTGGACTATACATTTCTCAGAGGTGTTGGTTGCGTGTTTCGGGCTGCACAGGCCTTGAGTTTTCGTGATCAGGTTGTCGTGGGAGTAGAGTCATTAAGTTCTGTGTTTGCAGGCTGAGTGGCGCCGATTGATTCAGTTAGAACAAGAGGCCCAGTCTCCATGGCTTGTCTGTTGCTTGTGCCCTCCAACGTGTATGCTGGAAAACCCAAAAGCCCTGAACAACATCGAACTCCGGAACGTATCCCAGGTCCCCCCAACGGCCCGAAGCAACAACTTCAAGTCATGTTTAAGCTGATGGGAACCTACTCTGCCTGGGGTTGTAAATGTCCTACTTAACCAACACTTTAACGTTTCTGCGTGATTCGTACAGTCAAGTCGTTCTGACAGGGATGGAGTCTGACAGTCAGAGTCGTTAGAGAAAAGGCTCCGTACTCAGAAACCATGGCAGGAAGAGCAATAACATGTGTTCACAACCAAAAAACGGCGGTTGAATTTCAAGCAGGAGGCTGCAGTATCCCTGGCCGAGAAATGAGGGCAGAGTTTTCGACTCCTTGAAAGTGATGACACTCCGGGTCCGGGCTCAACATAGTCCGTAGATATTGGCGTCCCGCCATGATCCTGCAAGCCACGTATTTCCAGATCTGCCGGCCTGGAGGTATTACTTTCGAAACTTGAACCTCAACATTGTGGACGTTCTGCCGAACTGTCTCGGACCTCTTCCTCCGTCTGCCGCGGCGTACTGCGCACGGTACATGAGCCTCAGCTTGCTGAGTAAACGGACACATAGGAATGTTTGATTTCGGGGCTATACATGTCCAGACACAGATTTCTACGTTAACCGGCTAATTAATGCTACTGCTACTGCTGCTGCTGCTGCTGTGACGACGACTGCCACTACTCTACTGCTGATACGCTTACCACGACCACCACCAAAAAACTATTTCTACCGCCACCAGTATGCCGCTACTGCTGCTCCTCCTACTGCCACTGATCTCCTACTGCGGCTGCCACTCCTATTGCCACTGCTACTGCTGCTGCCACTCTACTACCCACTTCTTGGGGCTGTGTAGCGGCCGTGGCACGGCCGCTATACCTGTTCCTACGACTTCTGCAACGACTACACAAGCGGCTACGGCCTGCTGCAGGCTGCTCCTCCTACTACGACGATGACTCGACATTGACCGTGTCGACTGAACGGAACGAAGATAGTACTGCTGGTGCTGTAGCCGTGCCCAGCTGTTGCTGCTGTTACTATTATGGAATTTGTCCATCACGTATCATCAAGCTGCCACCAGCCGTCTGGTAGTCCTCGCCGTTGTTGCAGCTCAGGTAGTAGTACTTAGCTACATAGTACTCTTATGTACTCTTGTAGGCACAAGATAATCGGAGATCCCAGCAATGCAGTGGCACGCCTCCTCCTTAAAAATGTCCGATCAGCAAGTGAGAACGAGGGCGGACATGTTCTGTAAGTTGGGCATCAACCATGTTCTCAACAAGGCCCTTCACATGCGGATATTGAATCCACCAAACACAGCTACCGAAGCAAGCTTTGCCTCGCGTCAAGCAAGGACTTCCGTAGGCATCAAGCCTCCTGTCAGCAAGGATCTGGGAACTGATGCTGGCATTTAAGGGATGATGCAAGAGTTTATACTTATGGTCAACAGGTGTCATGCTTGGTTGGTCAGGGTTCGGAGTTCTGGGGTAGCAGTACTGTTAGCAAACGGGTGATGCTGGTTTGTTCGTTCTGGATGCCCCAGAACCATGTCCCTCATGGCTCCGCTGGTTCCTTGAGTAGCTTTCCGGGCATCTTCCTTGTCTGTTCATCTCTGTTCGGTCGATCCGTGCTTCTTAGGCCCGAAATGCAAACACATCTCAAGCAAATGCCAACATGGAGATCATGGCTGGTTACATTGTCGGACACCGGCTTGCGCATGTCAGAGATGGAGATGTGGATGTCTTCTAAACGCTATTGAAACCTGACCAGCGTATCGGAGTTGTGCGCTACAGCGACGCAGCTTAAAAAGGCTTTCCCGAAGCTGAATTGAAAGTGCCAAGCCTCGGCCCGAACCCCAAGGCCCCGGGGCCCTAGGTTCCGGGATCCGAGCTTGAGCCCTACAACTTAAGCCCCAGCTTCCAGCAAGGCAGCACTACCGAACGAAGTACGATCCAGCTTCTGGTCTGAACCCTTCCAGGGTCGCACCGTTTGAACAGATTCAACTCGGGGGTTTCGGGCGAGGGGTCGGGATTTGGCATCATGCTTTTGGAGGTCAAAGTAGGGCTAAATGCACGGCTTGAAAGGTTCCAACAGAAGCTATGGGTCCCAGAGGTTCAGTTCAGCTTTGACTTTGAGGTCGAGCTTGAAATTCCGGACTCTGGGTTTGAAGAGGGAAACGTGCTGTTGGAGCTGTTCGAGAATGGTACGGTATGTTAGATTGCCAGTATCGCTGCAACCGCTTTTCGTTCATCCCCGAATCCGAACCCTGAGCCCCGAACATCCCTGAATACTGAGCCATGCATATCGCCACCGAGAACAGCATGGACTTCTGGCAGACCATTGGCATGCCAGAGAAGGCAGACCGAACTTTCGCCCCTTCGGCTGCAAGGTTGTTGGTTGTAGAGGGTTTCAGGGGCGGCTGACAGGCAACTGAGTCCGTGAGAGAGAGAGAGAGAGAGAGAGAGAGAGAGAGGGTTCCAGGGTCTCTGGGGCATAACGCTTTACTTGGACTTCCGCAGTAATGAATGCAGGTCTCACTTGTTCGGGCAGGTGTCCTCGCTGGACAGTGCCTGCCCAGCCAACAAGTCATACCTAGGCCTTGAACTGCGCGTTACCACCTTCTCCTGCCAACCCGAACGGGCCGTGAAACCCGCCTGAGGTCTGCATTGGCGTCAAAGCTGCCAATTACTTCATGCCACCGGATACACTCAGATGCTCGCCTTCTCACCAGCTGAACCTGATTTACCATTCGGTCGGAGATTGGTAGAATTAGTGGAAGGGCGGCGCAGGATAGTGGAAAAGCTGGAATACATGATGACAGACAGTGCAATGGTTAACATGTAAATAAGCTGCAGCAACTTCTCTTTTGAAAAGGATGTACCGTTAATTAAGCTGCTTGGTTTGGCATTGACGATTTCGAAAAGACTTTGCTTACTGTACCGGAGTCAGCGAGTCAGAGCAGTCATGTCAGCACGAGTAGCCGTAATATTTAGCTGTTGCGCAAGATGCGGGGTCAACAGAATCCGTAAAGAATCCCATCCAGTTTCCGTGCAACACTCGAAAAGTCAATGTTGGGGCTTCCAAGTTTTGGGGTTTTTGCGGGTTTACATATGGGTCCTGGTTTCGCGGGCATGGGCACCAGGTTGAGGGCTCTTCGGATACCAGTGTAGAAACCAAGGGTCAGCCAGGTCGCGGAATGAATCGTGCCCGAGCAAGCATACCCATAAACCTCCGCAGCCAGAGTCTTGCCCTATGCGACTGAACGACACCCAAACCTCCTGAGGTGTCACCGGGCCGGGCATCCGGGCCGCAGATGCTGCTGTGTGAGCGTGTGGGTCAGAGCAGTATCCGCACCAGCCTGATACCACATCCAGCCAATCTAAGATGCCAAGAAATTCCACGCCAATTGCTCGGAAATCCCTTCTGCACAGTATGGATTCACATGGATTCCGTGAACGGTCCTAAGTCGTCTCGAGCCGAACCCCTTCAGCACCCCGAATACGGTGTTCAGAGTTTGAGGGGAGGGCATCATAGCTATCCTAGAAGGATTGTACAGGAGGTGTGTTAAGGTCCTAGCTCTGGGATTGCGTAATCGTAAACGTGTTCTGGCAGCCAGCAAGCCCAGTGTCAACAAGATTAAATTCAGCATTTCCTGCCCAAGTTACACCAAATCAAAACGAGTTATGCCTTCAGGGGTTCAGTTCTTTCGATTGCAAGCGATTTGCGGCGGAATGAATTGTTGTTAGAGCTGCAGTCAAGCGCATGTGTGGTTGAGCTAAGAGATTACACTGCACCCAACCCGCAGACCTGAAGTTCAATCGTAGGACCCAAAACTCAAAAGCCCGAAAATCCCATGAGTCCCAGCACTGAGGAGGTGGTGGCTGGATACTGTTCAACCAGAAACTTCAGGCCGCACATGGGTTTGTGATGCTGGTTGTATTGTGTGTGTGCGCGTGTTTGCCTTTTTGCCATTTCTCGTTACGACAACTGGAGGGGTTGAGGTTCTGTTGAAGACTGCAATCTTGATTGTCGCTTCTTCAGAATCCGTCGTGTTGGTGTCCTGCTGCTTCTAGAGATATCGATAGATGTACGGGCCTTATCGTTGTTGTCAGAAGACTACTCGCTTGTTTCCACGTTTAGGGCTTCGAGCTTGTCGTTTCCGGATTCATGCTGCCGGTTCAGCCGAAGCCCCCGAGTTCCCAAGCCCGACATGCTACTGATTGTTTGTGGGATTCTGCAACCTGCTTCTGGTCAGGTCACCACCCGTCCGCCTCGAGGAGCGCAAGCCCTAGCCTCAGGAAAATTTTCGAGCCGTTGCATATAGTATCGGTTCGTGCCTATAAGGCACCCTAAACCAGAGACACCTGTGGAATAACAGGTGGATCGGAGTGTCGGAGTGCTGTGCGTCCTGGCGGCGCAAAATTACATGCAAGTGCACAAAAAGCAGAAGTGCTGGTGGCTGTAAGGGCCTCAGAGACCTACACGGCTGTATGCTCTACCCTCAATGTAGGCGTGTGCGCGTTCTGCGAGGATTGCTCGGGTTCGGGTTGCAGGCAGGCCGCTATTTGCGAGATCCCGGGCACTCCCAGATTCCCAGATCCTCAGAGGTCGGGGACGTTTGGGCGGGAGGGCGCGTCTTCGCCGTGGGCGACTGCAACTACGGCTCCTCGGTACATGAGGTCTAACCAGTCGTCTGCAACATTAAATTCATGCGACCCAGTCTTCAGCAGCCTACAAGCCACCCTGCTTTATTTGGCTTCTTGCAGGTTATGTCTCATGCCATAGGGTTGACGGTCACGAATTGTTTTACTAGGTTTGCTTCCGCCTAAGTAATGGCCATGATGCCTTTTGTGTTTAAGACTCCCCGCCAATCCACCCAGCCTGCCCGACGCCACCAAAATTCGAAACGACGACCTGGTGTACCCCAAACTTGGCAGTTGACAGGGAGTGTTCTCTGTAGTCTAGTCCAAGTCTGGATTAACCTCTCCAGTGCATCATCGAGGCAGTATTTGGGGTGGTAAGCGTACCCTCGGACTTGAGTTGGACTCTTTGTATTGTTCCTGGAGGCTGCATCGGAAATCCGCCCGACTGGGTCATGCCCCCCGTTCCCAAGGCTGGTTTGGGTTAGTAAGAGCTTCTTGGGCGTTAGGTTCTGAGTGCACAATGTGGGTATCTCGGTTTGTATCAGAGCTGTCAGAGTTTGTCCCGTGGAGCCTCCGACAGGACAGGTCAAGCCGGGGCCGGGGCATAATCATGGATCTGCTCACGTGCAGAACCTCATACTTGGGAAACTTCGAGGGAACAGTGCTGTGCTGGCAACTCATTTCCACCACATGCGGATGCAATCAGTGCACTCCCTTGCAAGGTCTCCTTCCCGAGCGAAGAGCAGGCGAATCTCGACGCTAGCGGAGGCGGCAGGTGTTTTACTTGAGCTACAAATCGATGTAGCGGTATAGCTCAACCGTTCGAGCAAGCTAGCGGAATTTCAAGAGCACAGAGCACTTCACGGCCACCAAACCATTAGGAGTGTGATCTGCCGAGCGGTATACCGGAGCTGCCTGACGTTCGCATCCTGTTTGGATGCTTCGGTTCGTCAGATTTCGTAATTTCTAGAATTTCTGAGTCGACTGTAAGGCTGTGAATCGAAGTTTCGGCTTGCTGGATGATGGATGCAGCTCCCAAGCATCTCTGACCCCCCCGTCGCCAAGGAACCACGCTTGCCGGAATGTGCGCCTCATGAATGCTGACAAGGCCATTTTTGACTCCAGTCTTGCAGCCTGTGTAGGCATCTTCGGAAGGCACAGCCTTCGGTTCCGGCATAGCAAACACGAGGTTATCAGGCACTAACATGGCATGCCACCCACAGCCGGCGTAATGTAAGCATGGTCCGTTCGCACTGGGTGGACTACCGAGGTGGTAGTTTGCCCGCGCCACGTCCGGTTCTGCTCTTTCCAATGACCCAGATGTACAGTGAACTCGTAGACGACGTGACGGGCGGGCAAGGAAGTAGGCTTAGATATTGTGCATGAGTGCACATGGCATACTAGCATCAGATGTTGAAGCTCTTCCACGACTAGCTGCTGGAACAGCCTCTCTTGCAAAAGACCATGTATCCGATTCGAGGAACATTTCCGGACATCGGGGTCTATAGGGCCTATCGGGCGAGGTCCTGAACCCGCCCCAACCTCTTCCCTGCATCGCCCATGTATTCTCGAGGGATTAACAAGTCCGTGGGTGGCCTGATGATTGGAAGCTAAACCTGATCCATGTACGAACTATATGCCATGTGGCAGTTGTACAAAAAGAAATTGTTCCCAAACTTGCCTATCAATCGAAGGACCTGTATTCCGAAGCGTCTCCCGCACCTGCGACTTTCGGAACATCCCTCCAATGACCCCCCAAAAAACTATGACCCCGCTAAACTCGGCCCGACACCCTGCACTAAACTGTGCGTTTGTTTGAGGCTCTCCGGGACACCTATTGGCCTTGGGGCGCCGGCCTATTTGCGACCAGTTTGGGGCCTCGTCCCACGCCGCAAGCAACGGGTTTTGCTTGAGGGCTTTGGTTCTCAGCCATTTGCACTGCGTTGGTGCGTTTTGGACGTCGGACTGGGTGTAATTATGAGGGCTGTAGTGTTACATTTTCTTGTGGTAGAGTCCGTGGACGTAATGTGTCAGTAAACTGTGGCTGTGCATGTCCTACTGCTTGTTATTTTAATGGTAATGCAGCCGCAGTGGACAAGGACGGCTTCGCGCGTGAGGTTGAGATTCCGACGGCCAGACGATCAAGTTTCTAAGTTGGGCTGAAATTAACGGGCTTGAGGATTTGTAGTCGCGCGGCTCTAGACATCGCAGATATGGTCTGCATGTTTGTCGGTTTTATGGTGGCCCCACCATGGCAGGAGGCAGGACTGGCTTAACGGTTAAACTTACAAATTCCTCTATACTTGCACTTGCACGTTCAGGCTGCGACAGTCCAGGGCATGGCACAGACCATCATAGACTGTATGTGCTCCGCATGTACAAAGCTATGTGTGTACATCGAATTTCACAACGATGCCTTCGTTCTCTGACCTCGCGAGTGGACAATCCCTACATGTCATGATGCCTGTCCGTGCCATCCAGGCAGTTCAGTCTCACATGCAGTCCCTCGTAGGTTGCTTCCCTTGGCCAGGCACACTAAAATCACTAAAATCGAGAGATGCAAACAAGCCACCGGCCTCTACACCGGAGCTATTGATGTCGCATGGTGTTTAAAAGGGGAGCTGTGAGCCCTGTCGTTGTTCAACAAGTTTCAGTGCCATGATCGGCAGGCATCTTGGATCAGTGAATTTCTGTGCCACTTTTGCGAGTTCCACTGTCAACGAGGTGCAGCTAACTGAATCACTGGCGACGAAGCGCAACGTGATGCACTTCATGAACATCTCTCTTGTAGTGCCCCAAAGCAGAATGTACTTCCTCTGCCATCATCCAATCGAAAGTCGACCAGAAGCGGAGCTGGATACATACGACCTTTCTTGCATTGTTTCATCTGGGAAAGCTCAGGTGACGCCTGCTTCGTGATGGGTGCTTCGTACAGGAAGCTTGGCTTCCACCTAGTGCCCGTTCTCATGGTGTTCAGGTTGTTCGGTTGCATAAGTCCTCCAGAAACTGACGGTTCAAGCACGGCATGAGGTCTAGGATTGAAGGATTTGTGATGATTCGGGCTTAGGGTAAGCCGTGGTTCCTTGTCGGAGGGTCAGAGGCTGCTACCACTGCGGTTTCAGCGCGGTCATACAACCGAGATGACTTGGAACGCTGCTGCTGTCGACCCCAAACCCAATCTCATACGAAGACTGTCCAAACAGAGCAGCCTTTATGCAGAATGCCCGAGCCCCTGAAGCAGCTCCGTGTTTCTTGAATCATACAACCAGACTTGCAATTGGGCCTGAAAGACTAAGGAAAGGATCGGGATACCTGGTGAACTGGTGCCTCGGGCTAGATACCGTATGAAAGAGAAAGTCGAGTTGCACAGAGCTTGTTGGCTTCGGTTTGGTTTTAGAGGTTTGTGGCGGAAGGGTTGATGGTTCTGAACTTACAGGGTCGGAAGTGTGTGGCGTCAGCACAGCTTGCGGATGGCGGATGTTGGCGGCCTACAGGGTTTTTCCATGCTGAGCTTATGGATTAGGGGCAATTTGTGGTCAGCAGCCTTCAAATGAAAGCCGCCGAGCTGCACCCACTAAACGCAATCACTGCAGATGCATCGAACAGGGCAGCGGATACATCTGCCGATGTCAGCTTTCAGGTTGGAGGCCCCTGTCGAATGTTTGTCCAAGCAACGGTTCGCCGGTGTGGTATCGAATATGGTGCTGAGAGAAAGTCTTCGGCTTTTGCAGCAGGTACATATAGCCATAAGGATCTGAAACTTGGGCGTCGTCGGCAGGTTTCTGAACCTAATACTGACCAGGACTGTTGGAGGCTTGCAAGATGCCGTTCAGCCTACATCGTGAAGAGTTGGGATACCGATCATGGAGACGCCATAGGGCAGTCCTTTTTGGGATGCCAGGATTCAAGGATTCATCAATGTCTGCACAGAGGGGATAGAAGACCCTAAAAATCCCACGATGCCTCGAGGTGGCTGCCTGCTGTCTGGCAGAAAGACCTCATCGAGAGGACTTATGTACACCTCGGGGATTGCACGAGCGGATGCTAGAACACCCGGGAATCCCACTCTTAAACATCGAACCACTTCTTAGTCAACCCCCAGAAGCTCACCCCTTCTTCTGAGCACTGACCCTAAACATCCCTGCCTGGGCCACCGAAGCATTAGCAAGTTGCTTGTCGGCAGGACGAAGGTGATGGAATGCGACTCAGCTCTAAAGTCCGGCCATGTAGCTGCATACGGCCACAATCCTTGCAGTGTGCAGGAACCTGTTGTAAAGGGGTCTCACGACACCGCGACCTTTTGCCGTTGCCAAGGACTGCGATGTAGACAGCGGTGCAACCGAGATTTGTTTTGTCGGTTTCGGTGCTTCAAAAGCTTCGCCCAGGCAAGAGCGAGGCCATTGGACGCATGGCAGCTGAGCTGCAGAGTCTCCGGTGCGCAGAGTTCGGAATTCCTGCGTTTGCTATTCTGTCAGCTGTAGGCCCCAACCTGTTCGCGGGCAGACATTTTGGTGTATGGGCGTGAGGCTTCGTTACCTTGCCACCCTCTTTTCCTTTCCAACTAGACTTCTACTTGCACCTTGTAAGTTTTGGTTTGCTTGGGCCTGATCGCTGGAGCTGACTCAAGAGACTCAAGAGACGTTGCAAAATGTGAAAGCCTCAAAACTGTTTGTTTCGGGTGGTATTTGAGCCGCATTCGTGTCTCCACTTCTACTTCAAAAGAACCGCTTGAACTGGAAATGCAGCGGCTCAGGTGTGGCACTTCGTGCACCATCGTCCTTTCCTGAGTTAGAGGGTGCGCGCTAGGGATCGCCGACGTCGGGCTCGTAGGGCCAAGTGGGCAATCAGATTATTGAGCAACCAGACGATGTAACCAGGCTACGAACTTAAGCCACAAAGTCCCCACCTACTGCGCATCACTAGTCACTAGCCTGCAGCCACTCAGCCGCAGCCGAGAAGTCAATGACTCAGCTTCGGAAACCAACCGAAGCTTCGCGTGCCTGGGAGCGAGCGTTGGAAAGCCAAGACAAAGGTCAACCCTTGACTGACTACATTGACTGCACATAGGGCCTCGAGGATAGTTTTGATGGGTTGAGCGATTGGCATTGTCAGGGCCTCTGGATTCGGTACTAAAAAGAGAACACGGACGGCTCAGATTCGTGGGGAGCCGAAACCCACAGCAAGACCGATACCCGCTGCATATGTCCACATCTGGTCCTTTTAAACTTTAAAGATTGTCACTTGCTCATAGAGGAAAGTTGTTGCTGCGAGGATTTGATTTGAAGTTAACTTGTGGGAAGATACGAGGAAGATGTTGCTGAGCTGATTGGGGGGGGCACATTGAGGAGGGTTTTAGGGAAGATTCCAAGCAGATGTTGCTGAGGTGGTTTTGAGGGAGGGAGGATGACGTGAGGATAATCTAGATTCCTACATGATGTTGGGACAGTTCTGAGGCGCATGTTCAATGAATATATGTTCATGATGTAAACCGTGATCTAGAATAATGGCTTCAGGATTTAGGGGTCTTCGTGAATGTTCAGAAAGTACTTGTAGTTACTGTAAGTAAGGCATGCAACATGTAGGCCTTTTTGGTCTTTCGCAACTTCATGTAAGTAGAACGTCTTCTTCTGTAACTTTACGTTGCTTGAAGATGAGCCCCTTAACTTATCTTATCTTTAGTTGCTTGAAGATGAGCCGAATTAGAGAGGGACCCCATGAGTCAACAGCATCGAAAAGTGGAAGTTTATCCTGCGTCATGGTTGCCAGCTACGTGCGCGTGATTCCCAGGAGCTGTGGTGGTCGGAGTGTTGTAGGGGGCTCAATGGCTTTAGGGTTGCGGATCTCGACCCTGAACTCTGTATCTAAACCTTAATTACTGAAAGCGTGTCCTTTTTTGCTGTCTACTTGTAATGCATGGTGCGTGGAAGCCTTTAGTTGAATCGCGGAAGCTCTATACTCAATGTGTATATCCCTTAACCCTCCCTCTCAGGAGCTTTCTTCGACGAGCACTTCTGAGTCTCGGCACCTCCGTGGCGCTCTTTTCCGCGCAGTGCCCGAGCTCTGCAGACAGCCCCTTGTGCTGTAACTTCAGAAGGGGTACATCATTGCAACAATCGTATTACCAAGTGTGACGAGTCTGACAGCTATAGCAACTACCAGCTACAGTTTCAACAACGACGAAAGTCCATGGGTATCAGTATCAACAAATCAAGGGTAGCAGCTATTGTTGTTTTTTGTGTGTGGGAAAGGCTCGCCACAGGTCTAACCGGTGTAGGGTTTACATCGAAAGGGCCACCCTTTCTGTATCACAACTACCGGCTCCTTGAGCTACGATGGCTTTCCACAGTCTAGCATTTCGAGATCGTCTTCCACGGCACCGGTCCATCTACCAATCCATCCATCCATCCGGCCAGCTATCTATCTCTCTATCTTTCTAGCTATCGGTCTAGCTATCTACCTCTCTATCTGTTTATCTCCGTTTTCATGACAAGAAGAACCCATCCATCCGTCCATCCATCCCACCATCCATCCAATTGTCCATGTATCCATCCAGCTAGCCAGGTATTTGTCTGTCTGCGTGTCTATCCGCGTATGGTGCCCCACAACACATGCAGCTTGTGCCCCCGTCGCTCTTGACAGAGATTCCTGAGTGCGTGGTGGAGAGGGAGAGAGACAGAGAGCGAGAAAGAGAGAGAAAGAGAGAGAAAGAGAGAGAGAGAGAGAGAGAAAGACAGAAAGAACAGAAAGAACGATTTTCTCCTCCTTCAAAAACCGTGCACACGGGTGCGCCATCGGCGCGGGGAGTGTGTGTACGCCCTATGTGCAAGAGAGAAAGAGAAAGATAGACAGAGAGAGAGAGCTGTGATGTGGGGATCGAAGCAAAGCAAAGCAGATCAAGGATGTGTGTGTGTGTGTGTGTGTGTCCGTGGGTGTGTTTCTGTGTCTGAGTGTATGTGTGTGTGTGTGTCTGTCTGTGTCTCTGTGTGTGCGTGTGTGTTTGTGTGGTTGGTGCATGGGCGAGGAAAAGGCCGAAGGGGTTATCACTCAGCACCCAGAAATCTGCAAGCCCAGTTTACCTCATTTGCAGTCTAGGGGGCTCGTATCACACTCTACAGAGCGGCTCTTTGTCAGTTGATGTAAAATCAGTCATTAGTCTTATGTTGTGTGGCTTAGACTAGGTCTTGCATTTTCCTGTGGCACCCATTATCTTTTTTGGCTGGTGAAACGGTGCAGCGTTCAGATTTGGGCAGTTCTACAGGTGTCTAGTGTGACCCCTATAACTACTTAGGCTCACGACTTTCCTGCATTTTCGGCGGTGTTCTGTAGCCTGTGGCGGTTCTGTGTTCATATCTCCCATCAGCCTTGGGTTTGAAAGCTTTTAGTTGCCCGGCCATGCCAGTGTTGGGGCATCTGTTAAAGATCTCGTTTGCAGGCAGAAAGCATCCGTCGAAGCCTCCCGAGAGTTTTTGGGTGGCGTTCGGAGCTAAAGAAGTTGTCCAGGCGGACTTGCAAAGCCCTGTCCTGTGGACAGGGGCTTACACGCCGGCACCAGTGGGCTACCGGTCCATACAGCTTCGAGTTGGGCAGAAGCAGGCCAGATTTGTCATGCGCTAGCTTCTGTCTTTCGGGTCGTTACTGAAACCAGGGCTTGGGGCATTTAGTTGGTGCTTGGGGCCATCGATTGGCAAGGTCTCGTCATGACATTACGATAGATGTGTCTCGGGGACAGAGGAGGAAGACGGCCACGTTGCGTACTGTTGATGCCTTCAGTCGGAAGGTTGACTTGCTCGCTGAACAGGTGCCGACCAGCGTGTGGTATCCGGCGCAGGTCGGCAAAGCGACAGCGAACATCGCTGCGGAGCTCAGCGGAGCAAGAGTCTTATGTTTGCACTTTCTGACGGGGATGCTTTTGTCAGATGGGCACGCGCTTGCATGCAGACACTGTGGAAGGGTACCGGATGCACAATCGCTAGCAGCATACAGGCATACAAGTCAAGAGAATAAGGTACCGTGCAACACGCTGAAGTACACACCGGCACGCAGCCGCATGTACACTCATTTAACATCGGTTGATGTATGCAAATAAACGGTATTTGACGAGGTGAGTGTTTGCACATGCATACCTGTAGATGCACGCAAGCGGACGAATGTGCATATATGTACATATGTAAACATGTATACACACACATGTATATGTATATATATATATATGTATCATCTGTGTATCGCTCTCTCTGCGTGTGTGTGTGATATATATATATATATATATATATATATATGTATGTATGTATGTATGTATGTATCTGTGTATCGCTCTCTCTGCGTGTGTGTGTGTGTACACATGTAAACCTGTATATAGGCAAAAGTGTAGACGTGCATGAGTCTGCATATCTATGCTTTGCTACCATGTTTTGCACCAGGGACCAAAGGTGCAGGGTTGCGATCTCAAGGTATGAGCTACCCTTGTAGGTACACGACATGGTCAAAGCTCCTCCGAAGGAGAACAAGCCGTACCAGCACTTCATCAGTGTGGGCAAGATCGTGGAGGTTTGCGTTGGGGCACCCCAAGAAGGGCCATCGAATCGTACAAGCAGCAACAACAGCAGCAGGACCAGGAGCAGTAGAAGCAGCACCTCCTGCTACTGCTGCTGCTACTGCTACTGCTACTGCTACTGCTACTGCTCCTGCTCCTGCTCCTGCTCCTGCTGCTGCTGCTGCTGCTGCTACTGCTACTGCTACTGCTCCTGCTCCTGCTGCTGCTGCTGCTGCGGCTACTGCTACTGCTACTGCTACTGCTACTGCTATTGCTGCTGCTACTGCTACTGCTACTGCTACTGCTGCTGCTATCGCAACTACTACTACTGCTATTACTACTACTACTACTACTACTACTACTACTACTACTACGACTACTACAGGGTTTAGGGTGTAGGGTTTAGGGTTTAGGGTCTACTACTTCTACTACTACTACTACTACTACCACTTCTACTACTACTACTACTACTACTACGACTACTACTACTACTACTATTATTACTACTACTACAGTACTACTACTACTACTACGGCTACGACTACTGCTACCACAATTGCTTCTTCTGGCTGGTGTTACTTCATTTTCATTTTCATCCTCCCAGCAAGCAGGAGGCGCAGGAGCAGCAACGACTTCTTGGAATCAGCATTGAATATTGGCAGCATCCTGTCGAGCCTTAGAATGCCCACGCCTGGCCCGGATGTAGCTTTCCGCATCAGCTTGATAGCATTGACGCAATCGCCAGAAGAAGAGTGGCCCAGGCACGTCGAACTCCTCGAGAACCCCTAGCCTCCCCGATCTCCTACCATGTCGACCCTACAACCTGGAACCCTGAAGCTCGAAGAGGTGCTGCAAGGGGCGCTCCTGCCGCGGTCAGTGGGCTGGGAGTTTGATTTGCAGGCGACTGTTGGTGTAAAGGGGGTTTGTGCTTAGCTTGAGGTAGAGGGTGTCGGTGTTTAGAGCTCAAATGCCTGTTGGTGAGCAAGAATTTCAATACTGTCCTTGGGAAGGCTGACGGCATGCATAAGAAATCAGGCGTGGTGTCCAGGAATCAAACCCAATGCTGCTTTCGGGACATTCGTCGGACGGCTTGCAGAAAGACTTACTCCTCCTCCACCACAGGTTAATTCTGTTTGGGTTCTTCTGAACGAGGCGGGGCTTTTGGCACAGAATTTGTGAACAGCTTTCGTTGCTTGTTCTGACCTGCACCCCTAAAATTGGAAAGTGTTTTAGCTGAGTCGGACTCAAACTTCCTTTTGCGCCTGCAAGGCATTAGGCGCTGTCCCGGCTACTTGTAGCATAGTCGGCTAGCATGTCAAGTGTCAACTCTTATGGGATCCAAAAAAAAACTTCGCACGATGACTGTGAATTTGCTCAAGTCCCAAGCTCTACAGCCCCTTCGCCCTGAAGTTTGTAGTTGTGGAGTAGACTGTAGTGGAGTAGTTGTGCACCCGCACACAGAGATCTCGTTTGGCAAGTCCGAGGTGCGAGAGCGTACAGCCCTGAAGCCAAGCCCGACAGTAAGACTTGAAACCCAAGGCCTGAAAGTCAACAGGGAGATCTCCAGGCCGGGCTGCCAATCTTTGCTGATGCCTCGCCCTTGGCGCCCGAGACTTCGGCCGCTTCTGAGACGCCCACGAGGCTGCAGCAGCTCCGTTCCTCTGCGGGGCTCCTCCCCAAGTGCCAGGCCTTAAACACAGGTAGGGTTTGTGGCGGGCTGTAGGGTTAGGGTTGAAACTGTCGTACGAGCTTTAGGAGTGTCGCTTGATCATCTCTTGGACTCGGGTGTGGTCAGGGTTTGGGTTGTGGCTTTCGCGTGCAGCGTCAGTCGTTTACAAGCTCGCGTAACTAGAGTGCACGGGGCCACTGGTAGTGCCAGCTTCTCTCGGCAACAGCACGAGCAGACCCGGCCTGGACGACCAAGGAACTGTGCCGTCATCTTTGCACATGGTTACCTGGGCAGCCGCTTCGACATGCTGCAACTCGGCTTTTTGCGGCCTCGCCGGGCTAGATCTTCATTCGGGGGCTGGGGGAGTGAGGATTCAGGACAGCAATTCGGTTTGAAATGCGGCGGGCAAGCACACAGCACTCCCCTCAACGAGGTTTCGCTCCTTGCACCTTGAACCCAGCTCTTCAGGTCCGGGAGGTTGAGACTTGTGAAAGAAGCAGTGCCAGCCATCCTTCAGCCCGATGCCTCAGGCACCTCTGCGAGAGGCTCGCAAGCCAGGGCTTCGTGGTCGCCGCCCCCGACTTTTCCGAGGGTTTGTCGGGAGCAGTGTCGGAACTGCAGCTTGCTTCCTATGCCAGCATGCTTGACATTTCAGGCTAGATCTTCCGTCCCTTTTGTGTGACATGTTTCGGTTTCGCACAAGCCACAAGCCCACCGTAAAACCCTGCACTCGTGAATTCTTAGCTTGACGCCAGCTAAGGCCAAGACGTGACATAGTCTCGGAGCTTCTGGCAAAGCTTCGCAGGGCTTGGGGAGCTCAGCAATTTGGAATCGTTGGCCACTCTGCTGGCGGAGGGACCGCGACTGTTTCTCCGGGCCCGTTTGCCCCTGAGACGCCGTTGAGAACTTTGTCGTCATGTGACGCCCTGATGTGAATGAATATGAATATGATGTTAGCCCCATGCAAAATCTCGAGTCCTCTGGCCACCGTGTGTCCCGGCCCTTGACCCTAACTCCTCTTCTGAAGATCTTTCTACGTAAGCTTGCGACCCCTGAGCCGGGCTCATGTCCGCAGACCTTTGAGAGCCGAGGCGTGTGGTCGCGTGGCTGTTGCCGGCCTGGCTCCGGGCTATGCTGACCCGGACCCTTTGCTGGTCCTTGCATCGGAAGGTGACGGCGTGGTAAGGCTGGAGAGAGTTCTCCAGGCCATACCAAGTGGGATCCCATGTGTGGAGGATCCCGGAAACTACGATCTTTCTAAGAAGTCGGGTGCGGTACTCCTTCGTCGAGGTCTGAAGGATGGGCAGCAGGCACCCTGCCACATATCTTTCCTGTCCGCCGAGACGAACAAAGCCATGATCTCCTTGCTCTCACCTTTGCTGCCTGTTGCACGTGTCTTGGAGGTGCCAGTGCTGGACTTCGACACCTATCTGGAGCTGCAGGACTCTGAGGAAGTTGCTGCCGCAACACTACCATTGATTGAAGACTTCTTCTGCCAGAATGCGGCCAAGCAGTAGACTGTTCGTCTCGGTCGGTGGCTGGCATCTTCGCGCGAAGACCGGATTACAGTGGGACGCTATCCGAAGCCCGACGTTACAGGCTTCTGAGTTGCACGAAGCCAAATGACTTGTGCGGAAGCCCCCGGTAATGAAGTGACAAAGGTTGAGAAGGGCTGTCGACTCGCAGGGAGGCGAGAGTTTCTCACAATTCCTGACGGCCACGGCTGCTCGATTCCCTAACCGAGAGTGCCTGCGAGCCGCACCCCAGACATTCTTCCCAGATTAACCCCGTCAGACACCCTGTCGAGACATCCTCGAATGCTTCTTCTGTCTTTCAATTATACATACTGGCCTTGATGAAGTCTTTGCCCGGACTAGGCGGAACACTGGATGCCTTGTGTAATATGGATGCCTGACTAAGTGTCAGCACTGTCCCTTACCGTAGGGGTATGCAGGGCCAATGTAGGGGTCCTCACTGAGCCTCAAACCATTATAGTATAGAACCCACTGCAAGCATCCATTTTGTGTGGCTTCAAAGGTTTAGGGTTCGGAACAGCCACCGGAAAGCCATGAAGCCTTCGACGGCTCTTTACCCTGGAGCCCGTTCCAAAGCCTTGAATGGTTGAGGGCATAAGGTTTCAGGTTTGGGGTTCTGGGAGCGGACGCCTCGTGGCGGCATGGGCTGTTGCGGACTCGCCCACTACCCATCTTCCGCACATGTTCTCAACTCTACCGTCATCCGGTGCATAAGGCCCCCTTGTGGTATAGGGTTTAACAACAGGGTAGTTTGAATTCTGCAGAAGCTCTCTGGCATCTCGCCTGAGATCCATTTCGCTCAAGCCTTGCCCCGGAGACGTGGCATCTGCCCGACTTCGGCTCTTCGGCTATGGGAGCTGCTTCCACGATGTGCGCCTGCTGGGCTGGCCTCTGAGCCGCAAGTCCGACTACGAAGAACGCAGTCTCGCAAGGAAGCTCTCCGAATCTCTCTTTTTCTCTTTCTCTTTTCTGTGTGTGCGCGTGCGTATGCGTGGATGAACGACCGATTGAAGAAGAGAAGGCGAGGCAATGGAAGGGAATGAACGGAATGGAAAGAATGGAAAGCAATGAGTCGGAATGAAATGAAATGAGATACATTGCTGAAGGAATGAATGGGTGAACGAAAGAAATGAACGAATGCATGTAATTCGTGAATTAATGAATGAACGAATGAAGTGAATGAAACGAACGGATGATTGAATCAACTACTGATTGAATGAACGGTGGAAGGCAATGAACGACATTAAATTCAAGAACGAACGAATGCATGAATGAAGGATGGAATGGAACGTGGATTGAAACAAAGAATGGTTGAAATGAGTGAAGGAAGCGAGCGAAGTGATGGATGAATGGAACGAAATGATGGATGGATGGATGGATTAAAAGTTAACTGGAATGAGTTGAAACGAAATTGGTTTGAAATGCAATGAAATGCAGTCAAACGGATTGAAAGAGCTGCCATGAATGGACTTGTTGAGTAAGTGGCTGACTGCCTGGCCGAATGCATGAAGGAGAGGAAAGAAATCAGATGGCATGGAATGAAATGGAAGAAGGACCGATTGAATACGTTGAACGATTGAGTAAATGAATGGCCGATTGCGCGAATGAATGAAATGCAAGGAATTTCAAAAAAACGCAACGAGTTGCAATGAAGTGGAATGAGTGAACGAATGAAGGACTGAAGGAATGGAATGTCATGGATGAACGGAATGGGCGAACGAACGAATCAGTAAATGCCTGCTTGAATCAATGAGACAATGAATGAATGAGTTTCATGAATGAACTTGAAATGAACCTTCAGCTTGATTGAATCATCGAATCAAATGATTGAAGTGAATGAAAGTAATGAAATTAAGCGGTCCGAATGAGCGTGAATGGCTGATTGCACGAATGAATGAATCAATGGACGAATGAATGAATTGAAATGAACTGAATGACATGCGAGCAATTGAAACAAGCAATGAGTTGCAATGAA